ACCACGCCTGAAATCTCGATTATCACTTTATCATGCGAGAGTATAAAATGTTCGGTGACACCCGAACTTAGCCCTTCCTTACTTGTTTTTAATTTCAGTTTATAGTTTTAATGTGGCAATCTAAATTTTTAATTAAATTTAGAAAACTAGATACAGCAAAAACTTTTCTAATTATAAGACCACCACTGTAGGTATGGGTATATAGAGGTACTTATGTTTTTTTTTATGTTTGTTTGTTGGCCCACTGCACTTTTTGTTTATTAGTTCTAGCACACTGCTCTCTTTTGGCTTGATTGCTTTTTTGTTTGTTTGTTATATATATATGTGTATATAGTATATATATTTTTTTTTGTTTGTTCACCACTTACTTTGTTTTGTGTTATTTTATATGGACACTTTTTTTTTTAGTTTTGTTTTTGTTTCTGTCTCCTCATTGCACTTTTGTTCTTCTCCACGACATTTTAAGGTTTATATTTCATTTTAATTCGCACGGAGGATTTTGCCACCAAAAATATTAATTATTGTTAATATGTTAGTTATGTTTTTAATTTGTCTGTGAAAAACCGAAGATGCCTTTCGTTAAGGCTCGAAGGACCATGATTCAAAGTATACGAAATTTATGTTTGATAAGAAATAAATTTTGTCTGTATTGTCACAATCTTAACAATGGAGCTATAATTTTTAAAATTAGAAATGTTACAAAATGTAATGTTAATAAAAATAAGTGGCGACAGACGGAATGGGGAGAATCCAGTCTTGCTGGAGCTGGCGATCGAGTTCTCGCGGATAGAGGTCGAAAACATTTATCCCGGTAGAGTAGCGGCACAGTGTCTCAGCGAAAGTTGATTTGCGGTTTGTATGGATCGAATTGCTTAGATCGAATTGTGTTTAAAGTTGTCGATGCGGCGCAGTGAAAAAGCGAAAGTTCCAAGAACGAATGTTGCTATGCGGATAGTGTGTGACGAATGTGAGTATGGCGAATTGCTTAGAACGAAATGTGTCTGCTTTCCCGTTGCCCATCCATTTTGTTGAGTGGGTTGGTGTACAGATGTGTTGAGTTGTGCTGTAGTATCATCAACTGTGGTGAATTGCGCGTTTGTATTACGATGCGCAAGTTTACCGGGTAGAGGGGGTGGATGCTTAACTCATTTAAACACATGTTTTTCTAAAAACAGCGTATCCTTATGCCTTAAATTTATAAAATCGGAACAACATTACCCCTAGTTTCCATATAACGAATTAAAGGATTTTATTTTCCGGTTGTCTTTATTTCGCATAGATATATGAATTAATTTTTGGAATATCTTAGCAAAATTAACAATAAAACTATAATAAAGGATCTTTATTGTTTTATGCCGAAAACTTTCGTAATTGATCAACAAATTAGCCCAGATGACATATACGACTATTATGAATAAAATGTATCACCATTCCGGCAGTCTCTGTGCCTAATACGTCAGTCAGTGAGTGAGTAATCTCTTAAAATTGCATGGAAACATACTTGTGGTATTACAACCAGGCCTTCTCTTAGTCGAAATACATAATTTATGGTAGCCAATATTTGTTAAATTATAAAATTTTAAATTAAATATGCATAAACTTCTTATATCTATAATAATTTCTTCCGTTTCAATGGTTGTTTTTTTCTTCACATACCGAATATCTTAAATTTAGCCTCTTTAGCTGAATTTGTATCACATATATCTTATTTGAGTTCACTATGTTGATTTTAATACCAATATCCCGTACATTAAGCAAAATATAGTATTGATCCTGAGTGAGTCAACGACCTACTATATAACATAAGTTAAGATATCAAACAGGATTATAAAGTTCCTTTGCAACATTTTTTTTTTAATAAAGTTTTGCAAATACCTAGCATTATGCCAGTAAAGTACACTGTAATCCATATAGAAAGACACGGCTTTGTGCCATCATTCAGAATATCTGTTTACCATATTGCGTGGATAAATAACCTTGACTCAAATATAATATATAGTTGCGAATCTTTATTGTTCAAGTGTTTTACCTTATACTCTGTATGCGTTGCTCGCATATACTATAAAGCTTCTCTGGACACGCGTCCAGCATATGGGAGTATACAATGTCAATTAGTTCGGCCGGCACCTTGAAGATTTCTTCATAATGATCAATCATAATTCTAAAAGCATATTTTATACTTTTAGTTGCAAGCTTTGCTAGGTAAATTTTCTAAATAAAAGCCTACCTTACTACATTTATAGCATCATTCATAGCCTCCTGTTCAATGCTGTTTCCACACGTTACTATATCTGACGAAGAGGTGCTTAAGAAATTTGTACGCAGAATGTTAGGTGCAAAAACAGTTGCTAGATTGTTGCTATCCATTTTGTTACCGCAGACTTGTACATTACCATCGTGACCAATAACGTCGTCGGAGCAGGACGCAACCCTTGCTAAAAACTTAAATAAAACGTAGAGGGTATCACGATGAGCCGCTGGAAGCAGTTTGACTAAATGGGATATAGCTTCTAACTGTAAGCGACGGTTACGTATTCCTATATGTATAAAATAAGATCAATAACTGAAGCATACTACAAGTGCAACGTAGATTGTAAATTACTTTGAGTTTCTAAAAATGCTGTATACAAATCGCTGCACAACAACGGCTCTGGGAGATCCCGCAAGAATTCCTTTATCAACGTTGCAACATCGTGAGGACAAGTTTCCTCACGAATATCAGTGACAGCATTCTTGTCAAAGTCCTCACGCATCTAAAAGGTTACCAAAATACAAAAGTATTTTAAAATTTATTATGGAACAAGACCACTAAATCTAGCTGACTAAAATACCGTACTTGATGAACAAAAGAATTATTATAAGTTGTGCAGAATATAGATTTTTTCCCTTAAATGTAAGAATAATTGCTTATTTTAATAATTATTATGACGTATTAATTAAAGTAACCCGTCCACGCTTTACTGTGGCTGAGACATAGATGGTACTACTAATATCAGCTATATGATTTCTAGACAGCCCCTACTTGTAAAAGATACATATACAAATTTGACAACTGGGGAAGTATTAGTAAATGAGATACAGCACTAGAATTGCTCAAAAAATCATTAAAAGTTTAAATAATTTAATTTTGATTTCCTAAAAAAGGATTTAATAAAACTTAAAGCAACCTTTTGCTTCATCTAACGCAAAACAGAGTTCGACGGGACTTTTATATATATTATTATTACTATTTGGTTTTTTTTTTAACTTTTTTTTAATAGTAAAATATTCAAATGATTCTTACAAACATGAATTTTTAAAAAATGCTTATGATTTGAAATATAATTTTTGTATTTATGAATTGTTATCAATTTTAACATAAATAGATACTAAGTATCCTGTGTCTTTACTCTGGTTCTAAGGTGCCTCCCCACCAATTTTCAGCTAAAACGGTTCAGCCGTTCTTGAGTTATAAATGGTGTAACTACCAAGATTTTTTTTTATACAAATAAATATGTGAAGTTCTTATGATTTGATATGTAATTTTTATAATCTTGCAACCAGGTGCTCCAGAGTATTATAGTTTTTTTTCACCTAACGGTTGTACTTATCACCGCAAACTAATCGAGATAGACCACGCCCATGGACGATGCCACGCCATTAACCGAAAACCTATGACGTGCCATAACTAAGCACTAAATGGAGATATAAAACTCATATTTGGTATAGGGAATCGCAGTACGTAGGGGCACCTGCGAGAAAAAATTTTGCGCCAGAGACGCAAGGCTTTATAGGACTCGGGGTAAAAATTGGATGATGGGCGTGGCCGCGCCTACTTTTCGGACAATAACCACGCCTACTTCCCATATAGCCCAATTTTAAATTCCACTTGATTCTTTTGATTTCCAGTACACAAATCAAGACGAAATTAATATTATAACGGGTTAAACTTTGCATGAATAATGTCTTTAGTGTATGCCACCTTATGATCGAAATTTGTTCAAATCCAACAAAAACTGTTCAAACTTCTAGGTACCGAATATTTAGATCCCGGTACCTATAGTTGAAATTCAGGGATAGTATTTCTCTGACAATGGTATGTCTGTATGTTCAAAATGATTTGAATCAGGTCAATACTTCGGTGAACCCTCATATACCTAATATAAAGATTTTCGATCTTCCGGATGACTTCATAGTGCATATATCGGCCAATATTTGAGTTATCTCAATGAAAATTGCAAAACATGTTTTACTCATCTTAGTATAGCTTTGTACATATAATAGATAGAGCGTAAAACTTGAGAATTTTCGAACATCCGGCTGACTTTACTCTATATGATTAGTTCGTTAGTATGTTGTATTGGGAAAAATAGATAAAATCAGTTCGATACTATCCCAATATTACTATCGACATATTACTCATAATGGTTTTTGCTTTTCCACAGAACCTTACATACGTCTCTGTCAGTATAGGAATTATATATATAGCATATGTGTATATTGCTTGGATTTCGATCCTCAAGTTGACGTTTTACACCATAAAGTATTTCGCTGGCTTTGATTCTTGTAAGTTGCAAGAGTAAAATATGTCAGTTGCACCCGAACTTCGCTCTTCCTTCCTTACTTGTTGTATTTATGAATTGTATTGAATTTTAACATAAAGAGACAAAATGTTTCCTATGTCTTACCCTGGTACTAAGCTAGCTCCCCACTAATTTTCAGCCAAATCGGTTCACCGGTTCGTGTGTTATAAATAGTGTAACTAATACGACTTTCTTTTATACAAGTATAGTATACATATATAGGTTTTTGTAAGCTTTTAAGTTTTAAATTCAAAAAGCTCAAGTTTATTTAAAGTACAAAAAATATAGATTGAAATATACCTATTCACCTATAAGACAATCTAGAAAAAATATAGATTGAAATCTACCTATTCACCTATAAGACAATCTAGAAAAAATATAGATTGAAATCTACCTATTCACCTATAAGACAATCTAGATAGACCAATAATTGCAATGCACCAATATTAATAACAACCAAAGGACAATTAGACCTATATTGCTGAAAGAATTAAAATGATAAAATTCTTTGGGTATGTGACATAAACACTAAACGTACTTTCAATGTAAATAATGAGATTTCTTAATCTTCTTTTTCATTAGCTTCATTAAGGTCTAAATTAACTTCTAGCTCAATTATCAACTCTAACGCTAAATAATTTGCTTCTTCTTCTTATGCACTCCAACCATGAGTAGTTCTGAGTCGGGGTTACTCCAGTTGTACATCTCAAGGCAAGATTGGTCGCAATGCACTTGTTCCCTCCATCGGATGCGTGCTATCTTCTGTTGCCCACTCATGGGTCTCGAATCGAAGGGTCTTTTCACTGGATCATCAACTTCCAAGCGAATTACATGCTTATACAGTTAGTGGTTTCGTTATATTGCTGCTGGAGAAAACATTCCAGCTGCAGATCTTAATCAAACAGGTACAATATTTTATCTGAATGTACAGCTGCTGGCGTATGCCGATGATATTGATATCATTGGCCTCAACACCCGCGCCGTTAGTTCAGCTTTCTCCAGACTGGACAAGAAAGCAAAGTAAATGGGTCTGACAGTCGACGAGGGCAAGACGAAATATCTCCTGTCATCAAACAGACAGTTGTCGCACTCGTAGCTTGGCTTTCACGTCACTGTTGATAGACATAACTTTGAAGTCGTAGATAATGTCGTCTATTTAAGAACCAGTATAAACACCAAAAATCAGCCTCGAAATCAAGCGCAGAATAGCTCTTGGCAACAGGTGCTACCTCAGACTGAATAGTCTAATGAGAAGTAAACTCCTCTCTTGACAAACAAAAACCAAACTCTATAAGTCACTCATTATTGCCGTCCTGCTATATGGTGCAGAAGCATAGACGATGACAACAACTGAAGAGTCGACGTTGCGATTTTTTTTAGAGAAATGTTCTGTGAAAGATTTATGGTCCTTTGCGCGTTGGCTACGCCGAACATCACATTCGATGGAACGATGAACTGTACGAGATATACGACGACATTGACATAGTTCAATGGACGAAAACACTCCAGCTCTAAAAGTATTCGATGCAGAAACCACCGGGGGAAACAGAGGAAGAGGTGGCCTCCACTCCTTTGGAAAGACCAGGTGCAGAGAACCTGGCTTCGCTTGGAGTCTCCGATTGGCGTCACGTAGCGAAAAGAAGAAACGACTGGCACGTTGTTGTTAACTCAGCTATAATCGCGTAAGTAGTGTCTACGCCAGTAAAGAAGAAGAAGGTTTAATTTTATTTGTTTTTTAACGCTCTCCTGGACGGCTCGTTCGTTTTTGCGCCGTTTATTAGCACGAGAATGATGACAGATTTATAGAGTACATATTTGTTATGAAGGACACCTGCATCCAATTGCTTACCTATAACAGAGTAGCAGCTATTGGAAAGAATTAACCTGCGCTTTATATTCAGGCTTAGATTACTGGTGACATTTATGCTAATTTCGAGACATACAAAGCCTTCAACTGTATAGTTGCCAACAGTGATATCGTTCTCAAAAACGCGGGAAATCTTTGGGTGTGTTCTCCAGATACTTTGACTGCACTGGCGGTTTAAGACCTACGAAGTCAGTATCATCCGAGTCCTTCAGTATTATTGTTCTAACATTATATTAAAGAAAAAAGCGAGAGATTATCACCCTGTCTAAAAACATTTTCTGGTATCGAACACCCCGAGAAATCCTTCTTGATTTTGACGCAGATGATGGTTGTGCTCAAAATGCTTCACTGATAGGAGAAGTTTTAAACTGCAGAATTTGATTTTCGTTGGAGCGCACCATATGGGTGCTTAACTTAAAAATATAACAATTACTTTATATTAACATATTAATAAATATATGAACTACAATACTTCGATTTTCTTCGTATGTCTAAATATTGTATTATCTGAAATTATATTTTTCTGTGTGAACATTTATTACCTGTTTAACTCGCTTCTTGGATGTGCTGACACGAAACAGTCCAACCTTGTGTAATCCGTGCTCTTCAAGATATTTTATGCAAGATGTTATGAAAGTAGGCACTTGCAAAGTATTTTGATTGGCTATTTCACTCTGCGCCTTAAAATAAGATGGATCTTGCAACTCTTGACTATGACGCCTTATATCAGATTGGCTGCGTGAAATCTGCTTCTGCATTGATGACAGGTTGTCCAAATAACCTCTGTTCGCTCGGCCACTATGACAATTGTTATCACTACTAAGCGAAGTTACCAAAGAAAATGTGCTCGAGGGCAAGCTTTCATAAGACGGCACCTATATAAATAAGTTAAGTACTTATACCTTTAAGTGTAAAACTTACTATTTCCATTGAGGAATATTTTTCTTGCTTACATTCTCATCCAACTTATATGTTACCTCATTCGTACTACCACCACGAAATAGTGCTACTAATGAGTTGCGCGAACCACGATCAGTTGATGCCTTCAAGTTGTTTCCCCGCTTCTTATCATTGATTACACACCATTCCAAGGAGTTACCAAATAAACCGGGTCCACCTTGCTCTTGCCCAAATAAAATAAAGAAAATCTTCAGAAAAAATTATTAACAATCTTAAGGAGCACACGTACTTTGGTCCTCTTTTTTACTAACATCAAAGAAACTGGTAGTCATCGCTTTCTTCTTGGCCAGAACCCTGCGCTTCTGTGGTTTACTATCTAAATGTAATTGAAAATATTAAATGTTACATTTTTAACTGTTTCTATCTATAATATTTGCATGAGAACAATAGGTACTAAGTATTTTTTTTTTTTAGTTCTGAGTTTCGAGCAATTACTCAATGTCCAGACTTATTACGGAAATCAGAACATATAAACAAAATATTGATGGATCTTGAAATGAAACGAATTGGCTGAAACCCCATAAATATTCAAGGTCACAGGAGAAAATCTACACGATAGTAAACCACATGATCGTCCATGCCATCTTACATACATATCTCACTTCGAACACGTGGTCGTACCACTTTTACACGTTATTATAACTTAAAGCTGAGCCCTCAATGCAGTATTTTTTAAATTTCGTTCTCAAAAACAGGAATAAGTGAGTCAAAACAGCTCTAAACGACACTGCATTTTGGACCTTTACAATGAGTGCATATTCCCCTGCAGCATATTAATCTTAGTGTTCACTAATTAATATGTATAGGTCTGCACATTTCGGCTGGTGAAAAGAGTTATGTAAACCGTATAAATTCCAAAATATCATTGTTAGTTCTCATTTCAAGTATAGTATATGATATTAGTCAATCATATCAGTTGGCAAAGGCACACATTGTTGATATATATATATTTTTTTCAAATATATTAATTATAGCGATATAAGATTAGTGAACAGTACTTTTGTGCCTACTTAATAAGACATTAACTCCAATATTAAGTTCGCTTATCTTTTCAATCGCAACACGTTGTAAAATTTTCGCTTCAATGTCCGTCAGATTTTGCAACCATGAATCTTGTATTACAATAAAATCACCGTTCTCTGAAGTCCAACTGCACTTTTCCTAAAAAAGAAAATATCATGAATTAGTTTCATATTCGAAATTAAACTTGGTTTAATATCGGTATTCATGTCTCTAATTGTCACAATCGTAATTTAGTGATTATGTTACTCAGTAGTCTCATAACTAAGTTACGATTGTGACAATTACAGACATGAGACAATCGTCTCAAGCAGAATACCGATATAAGTGTTCTTTGTTTTCATAGTAAGGATTATGCTTTGTATGACATCGGCAAAATAGGTAGAGACTTACGTCGAACTCGGTTGAATGTCAAAACCTCCCAAAATGGGAGATTTTAATTCAAACTCGGATGAATTTTCGAAATTAAGAATATATTAGAGCTCGGTTGAGTGTCAAAAGCTCCCAAAATGGGAGCTTTTAATTCAAACTCGGATGAATTTTGGAAATTAAGAATATATTAGAACCGGTCAATTTTTGGGGTTGGACCTTACGCTATTCATAGAAACAAATAACCTCATCATTGATGACTGGAGAGTGTCCGACGAACTAACATTGTCAGATCACTGTGAATACTCTTCAGCATTAACATTATAACAATAAAATAACAAACTCAATAATAAAAGTAGTTACAAAAGATCTTAACTACCTCCTTCATCAAAACAACACTGTTAACGCTTCGCAAAAAGTGGATGTCAAAGGATAGGAAAGCCGACTCTGACTTTAGTTAAGAATCGATCTCTACTTTTTACGATACAGTTGTTTCTGTCTTGAATCGATTAGAAGCAACTTCTACTCGATGACTGTCACTTTTTTACAGTACTTAGTATCTGACGGTAACACAGCATTTTATAAATACTTACTCTCTGATGGGTTTATAACATTACTAGAGGACCCATCCGCGTTTTACTGTGGCTGTTACATAGATAGTACTATTCATATTACATATGATTTCTATTAGTCAGATTATAATCACTAGTTAAGAAGATATAGCATTTTTGGTGCAGCAACTTGTGTAAGCTTACAAAAATTAATCAAAAAGCATTTCGTGTATTATTAAAGCATTGATTTTTACAGGAAAATACTGTTGTACTTGGGCTTTGCATCGGGGAAATTAATCGAGCCCAATCGGCACTCAGCCTGGTGGACTTCATATTATGAACCGGTTCTCAAGCGTGGAAAGACCGGCTGGCAAGGTTATGGCATCAGTCTTTTATGATGCACGTGGTATATTGTGCATCGAATGATTACTGAGCTACTTTTAATCCACTGCATGGCATATTTGGTTGCAGTTCTATTCAACCATTCCCAATATTTCTCAATTTTATTATCAGTTTGAAATTGTACACATATACTTCAACGTTCCCGTTTAAATATTAGGTTGTCAAAAAAGTCTTGCGGTATTTTTTATTGAATTTTCAATTGTTCATAAAATTTTTTTTGATGACTTATGCCCAGCTCTTGACCGATGCTACGGCTGCTACTATGCCGGTCTCTTTCGACCAAATCAGCGATTTTATCGCAATTTTCGACGACAGACCTTCCGGAGCGTGGCGCATCTTCGACCGCCTCTACACCAGAACGAAAACGTCGAAACCATGAATGCTCCGAAAAGATTTTTGTATACCTCTAATTATAATAGACCTTTTTATCAACACTCCAGTTATTCCGCTATATTTTTATGCTAGATATCGCGTTTGGTTTGTTATGAATGCATTTACGTCCTTCGCCCATAATCTAGCAAAATATCCGCAGTAACTTGACGACGAAAATGTCAGAGCCATTTTATGTTGTGATGTCTTGTTCAAGCAACAACCAGTATAACTCATATCATACATACGAATATTGGTGTTCTCTCGCATTACCTCTGTGTTGTTGTTTTTTTTAATCTTGCAACCTGTTGCTACAGATTATTATAGTTTTGTTCACTTAACGGTTGTACGTATCACCTAAAACTAATCGAGATAGATATAGGGTTATATATATAAATTAATAAGATGACGAGAAAGGTTATAATCCGAGTCCGTCCGTACAATCCGTAACCTGAGTAAAAAAATTTCAAGTTCGAAGATGGGCGTAATCGGATCACTGCTATTAACTGAAATCCTATAAAGTGCCGAAATCTATAAGCACTTAATTAAGATGTAAAACTCTAATTTGATACAGGGGATCATAGTAGAAAGAGGCGCCTCTGGATAAAACATTTTTGCGAAATCCGCCTTCAATCGCGAATACTTCCCATATAACACAATTTAAAATTCCATTTGATTCTTTCACTTTCCAGTGCACGAATAAGAATTTAATTAATATATCGGAATAAAATTTTGCAATAATAATTCTCTTAAAGTTTTATTGAGTTTGTTTAAAAGTTTTCCAAATCTAACCAAAACTGTTCAAGATTCTAGGTACCGAATATGTGGACATTAAATGTGTGAGCTATATAATTGAAGAGAAGGCAGAATCCTTTTCTAACAATAGTTATTCTGTGTTTCAAAAATGGATTGAATAGCATCAATATTTCCCTGCGCCCCCATATCCCTAATATAAAGATTTTCGAACTTCCAGGTGACTTTACTGGGTATATCGGCCAATATTTAAGTTATTGCAATGAAAATTACATAGCATGTTTTGCTCATAAAAGTATACAATATTATTGTGCCTAAAATAATACTATTGGGCGAAAACCTGACTTATCCCCACCGTTTCGAGGATTTTCGAACATTCGGCTCACTTTGCTCCATATGATTGGTCATTGTATGTGAGGTACCTTAATGAAACACGAGACCATTATTTAGTATGTGGCATATTGTGGTGTATTGTGTCGGGACGATGCTATCCCAGCTCTCGTATACTACATATAATAATTTTCGTTTTTCTAACAAATCTTATGCGGAAAGTATATACTACTGTGATCAAATTGAAAGATGCATTTTGAATTTATACTTCGCGAGTTTTTCGAATCGGTACATTTTTTTTCTGTAAGTTGGTAGTACTGTTAGTGAAATCTAATGTCACGTCAAAATATTCATTAGTATAAGTATTAGATATGCGTCGTTTTGTGAGGCTCTAAAAGTGAGTTCTTCGATTTTTCCTATGGCTGAATTTATTAAACAAAGAAATGCGATAATGCACCATCTCATACTTCATTGGTTATTCGTGATCATTTTCATTTTCAACTAATATCGTGCCGCAATCACCGCATTCTCCTGATTTTCCTTCGTGTAACTTCTGGCTATTCGGTAAATTCACATGACCACTCCGTTCCATTGAAAATGTATTTGATGAATCGAAGAAGGCTCTGACGGTCATGGATGATGACTGGAAAATTCTTTGGCATAAGTGTATAGCAGCGGGAGGGGATAATTTTGAAGGAGATGAAATGGACAAAATTCACCTTCCAATTTTAATTTTGGTAGTTAAGAATTGCATTGAATTTGAATGTAAATAGATATGAAGCATCCTATGTCCGTCCCCTAGTTCTAAGCTAACACCCCACAAATTTTCAGCCAAATCGTTCTTGAGTTATAAATAGTGTAACTAACATGACTTTCTTTTATATATATGTATAAGAAGATGTATATACTACTATATATTACAAAATCTGTTATGGCCTTCTGCAAGAAGAAATCAGTGTCGTTTCGGCCATTTCCAAATTGTCATCATCTGTAATTATTTTCATTGTATTCAGTAAAGTTTAAAGTTCAATTTTCCCAATTGCATCTTTTCCAGCGCTTTTGCCATTTTATGATCGTAATAATCGTTCACCTGTGCGCGCTATTCGTCTAATTGATAAAAATTTCAAACACAGATTTTTCAATAAGACAAAGAACCGCTGATGTAATGAAACTGTTGCTACCGTTTAGCCAAATGCTGCTGAAGAAGTACTAGACTCGCAGGCTTGGTAATTTTTTAGTTACTTGGTAACATCAATTCGGCTGTTTGTATTGTGTTGTTGCTTAAAAAGTTCATTTGATTCACTGCAAAAATATATATTTGCTGCTCACTAGACAATAATTTTTAAATTTTTTTCAATAGTAAGTATATCATAAAATTGTTTTGTAACAGTTATATTCACAGTTAAGTGTTTTAGCGAAGTATCAACTAACGAATTACCAGATTAACAAGTTCGGTTTGATTACTCCTATTATAAAAACTAATGTCAATCAGAAATTTAGAGCTCTAAATTTTATGCGATGAGTAAAATAGGAGAGCAGGGAAAATGAAGTCGAACATGCAAATTCTGATAGAGTTATACCTTTATTTGCTAGTTGTTGACCAAAGGGGAATTAACCCAAAACCGCACGACAAAAAATTAGGTGCTACATTGTTATACCAAAATTTCAGGAAATTGAAACTATGATCACTATTTTGTATACGGGTATTGTAATTGTGTTATTTAATTTGAAAGACGATTCTTCGCTGAACTTACCGCTGGCGCCCATTTCGAAACTGATGCTTGAGTGTTCGGTCGTGACTGACTTTTCGAACGGCTTTTAAGTATTTTACGTGTGACAAATTGTCCGACATTGGAAGATGATTTTGACTTTTGCATTGTTGTGCTCAAACTTGCACCCTTCGCAGCAACTGTTAATTAAAAAATTTAAGAATTCTTACATATATATATATCTATAATATATACAGGAAAATATATGCTCAGTTAATTTAATTGGGAAACCAGACTCCTAGCTTATTTTTCTGGGAATACAAAATATATTAATTATGGTATGTTATTAACTATAAAGGGATATTATTATTGTTAAAAACTCAACAGTAGTACTTTTTCCATGCAAAAAGTATCCAACCAAGGCTGGCTTCGAAAACGCACTAGTGCAAAGTTTCGGTTCAGTATGACTGCAGTATTTATACATCGTACAAAGTTTACTTTTGCGGTAAACTGTTTTGTTTAAGCGATCGTAAAAGTTAAAAAATATCAAATTAAAATCAAATAGTTTCATTACAAATAATTTATTCAGTTTCATCGAGAATGGAAGCACAAACACTATTAAAACTTCATTTGTGATGCCCGATTTTCTCACTGCGCAACGACTACAACGTTTATACGTTGCAAAAGATTATGCAATATATTAAATATTACGGATTGCAATAGACGTTTTCAAAGTCAGCTTAATATTCAACAGAAACCATAGTACTCGAAAGCGTCCCTTCGCTGTATATATTTCCAATACTGAAAATTTTTTTAATTTTTAAGTCACAAATCAAAAAAACCAAGAAATAAAAACTTGAGTTTGATCGGTCTGTTTGTATCGTAACTAAATGCTAAAATGTGAATGAAATAAAGGTAAAGGTGCTTGAGATGATTAATAGTCAGAGATCTTACTGGTATCGTCGAAATATCGGAAGCATCAGTGATAACCATTTCGAAAGATTATTTGGGCCTAATTATTTGGGTCGCGTTAATGTCTGTATTACAATGCTTTCCGACCGGATGTCATAAAACGTATTATATTAGTGGCGGCGAGTATGGTAACAACCTCATAGGCCGACAACTCTTGTTTCATTCTTCGTCAGTTTTTCGCCAAATTTTGAACCAATATCATGCCGAAACCACCGTATTCGCTATTCACCAAGCTCAAACGACCGTTCCGAGGACCGTTTTGAGTCGATTGAAGATATTAAACATGAATCGGTACGCGCATTGAGGGCTATTCCGGAAATTGACTTTAACAACTGTTTCGAAGATTGGATAAAATGCTGTCACAAGTGTATTGGTGTCAAGGGGGATTAATTTGAGGGCGACGACATAGTTTTTGAAGCATTAAGGGGCTATACCAGTGTGACACTTTCAAAAAAAAAAAATTTTTTTTATTTGTTTTTTCTATAGCGTATATTTAAAAAAATTTCCTGTGAAATTGGGAAGTTCGCATCTTGAATAGTTTATGGATGGAAGCGTTCTAAAGAGCGACCGCTTTGAGGTGAAAGCATATGAGGCTATCAAAAAACTCTTGCAGTATTTTGGCTAGTTGGCGTTGAGAGCACGTAGTTCTAGTTTTATTCGTCGCATCGGGTCATGCTATACCTTTTAGGAAAGCTCATTTCACGCGCTAACACGTGTTTGATTGAATGTCGTTTCTTTTAAGTCATTCGTGAGTTATATCGTCGCAAACATGGAGCAAAATAAAGAGAAAACACGGCATATTTTACAGTACTACTACGATAAAGGCAAGCCGCCAATGAAATTTGTGCAGTTTATGGACCCAATACAGTTTCCATTTCCACCGCACAACGATGGTTTCAACGTTTTCGTACTGGTGTAGAGGTGGTCGAAGATGCGCCACGCTCCGGAAGGCCTGTCGTCGAAAATTGCGATAAAATCGCTGAATTGGTCGAAGGAGACCGGCATAGTAGCAGCCGTAGCATCGGTCAGGAGCTGGGCGTGATCAAAAAAATTGTATCAACAACTGAAAATTCAATAAAAATACCGCAAGAAATACCGCAATATTCACCTATTATATAAGTGAAACTTTAAACGCGTTTTTCTCGAACGACATTTTTCAAAATTGCTGGCGTCATAACTCAACGAGAAATTGACCGATCGACTTCTAGTTAAAACTGAGTATTTTTGAATACATTTACTATACAATGACCTACGATGCTTTTGATTGATTCAAAATTGTTAATTTAGCATTAAAAAAACGACAATTTTTTACCTAGAAAAACGATTTTTTTTCAAAACTACGCCATTTTGTTAATTTCTGATATTTTTCAAAGGTAGGAAAAGTTTAATATAATTTTACAATTTTTTTGTTTCAGCTATTCATTTGGCCCTAATCATGCCAGCAATTGGGGCACTTTTTTTTGGCACCTCCGAAGACAGCCCATAACTCTGTTATTTATTAAAATTTTTGTATAAAAAAACTTAAAATATAGCTGAAAAAATACCTCATTACGTTCAAAGTAGTTCGAAATATTCAATCTCGTACTTTCTTTTAAAAAAATTCATGAAAATCGCGTAAATTTTCATGCGTTACACCGGTGTTGCCCCTTAATTCAGAATTTTATTTATATCGGGATAAGACTTAACATAGAGACTCAGTTATATTTTATATTAGTCAAAAGCGGACAATAATTCTTGGAGCAATCTCAGACTAAATATGGGCACCCAAATACTGTGACCGACTTTATACAGAAAGTAGTGGCGCTTAGGTATATTAGTGAAGTTAAATATGTATTTTTCTGATATTTCTGTTATCTGGTGAGCTACAATTAAATTGAATGGGATTATTTCCTCTCGAATACTAGCTACCTGTCGGGGTGGGCAAAGTACCACTATATTTTAGCAGTGGCTCTTTGCTCCCTTAAAGAGCCATAAGATACAATATATGTATGCAAATTTAAATTTATATATATATATATATTTACAGGCAGTAATTTTTTTATTTATTCTTAGCAAAATTAATTCTGTGTCAATTCCACAGACATATGATTCCTTAGACCTATGTAAAAGCACTTCAATAATAAATTTGCAACGAAGAAACTTTATGCAAAAGTTCATATTCATATATATTTTTGTGGAATAGATTTGTTTTAAATTTGGTATTATTTGTATTTATTAAGATTATTGAACAAATTGAAGTAAATAGTTTAAAATAAGCACGCAAAGGCTAAATTCAACACAAATGGGTTAAGTCGGATATATGATATCGGAAGTATTTGAATTTTCAGGCAAATCGGTTCGTCTTGAGTTGTAAATGGTAAATGTAAATTATATATAAAGAAGTGTGGGTTTTTATTGTTTTTATTATTGTCTTAATTATTATTTTTATTTATTTTTTAATGAAATGATTCACATGATTCTTACAAACATGAATTTTGAACAAATGCTTATAATTTGAAATATAATTTTAGTATTTATGAATTGTATTGAGTTTTAACATAAGGAGATAAAAAGTTTTATGTCAATACCCTGATTCCAAGCTACCACCTCACCAATTTTCAGCCAAATCCGTTCCTGAGTTTTTGAAGAAAAGAATTATTCAAATGATTCTTACAAACATATATTTTGAACAAACGCTTTGATTTGAAATATAATTGTACTTATGATGCGTATTGAATTTTAACCGATAAAAAATATCATATGCCCTTATTCTAGTTCTAATCTACCCCTCCAACAATTTTCAGCCAAATCGGTTCAGCCGTTCCCAGTTATACTAAATTTTGTAACTAAATCGACTTTCTTTTAAATATGTATGTATGTATATAGATTTTAAAATTTAACAAATTTCTTCATTATTTTCATTCATTTCTGAACAGCTGTAACTTTATTTCAACTTCCCGAATTTTTTTTTTTTAGTAAATTAAGCTTAAAATTCACCTTTCCAACAATATATGGTATGACACAATGTGATTGGTAGCACTGTAGATATACGACTGAAACGACATCTATTGACCACGAAAAGACTTTTTCGACTACCCAATATTATACTTTACTTAACTTTGTTAAGGTATCCTAAAAATTTACCAATATATGCGGAATACAGGTAAGCAGTAATTTAAACCCCTTACATGGGGTATATGGGGTAGTAGTGATCCGATGTTATCCACTTTAGGTGTGAAGACAGTTTTTTATTAGATTGAGATGCAATTTTTTAATATATCTCACATAGTGCCCGGAATATGCAGTATAAAACTAACCGGAAATTCGAAAATCATTATTGTAGGTATATTGGGGCTAGGAGAAGTGTTGATCCAATGTTTTAATTTTTGACACAAGTGTTCTGTAATATCAGCCACAATCAATAGACCATGTCTTCAGTATATCAAGAATCAAATTGAAATTAAAATTTTGTTATATAGGAAGTAGCCAATATTCATAGCATAATATTTCAGGATTCTGAAAAGTGATTAATTTGGTAAAACTCGGTACAGCAATATTGATTTGTAGTTAAAGGATAGCAGTGCCACGGCCATTGTCCAGTTTTGATACCGCTATATTTATCGAAATTTTAGTAGTTTTCAATATAACCGTTGTATGCAAAGTGAACAGGGTTATAAACCTTTTTCCCATTTCCACATTTTCAGAGTGAGTGAGGTAAGGCAATTATATTCCAAAATTAGTTTTGACTTGAAAAAAATATATATTTCCGTAAATGTGTAGATAAAATATTTATATAGTATGTGAAAAAATCTTTTCTAATAGATATTACATATTGTTCCCTTTCTAAAGTGTAAGTCATACATTTTTTAGAATAAACTTCACCAATTTCTTTAGAACATAATGGTCAATTTTGTCCCATTCAGATAAAATGGCATTTATTAAGAGTTTAGAGATGTAATTTTTCCTTTAACTGGAATACATTTTAGCGGAAAGCGTCCGCCATAAATTTTCATTGGCATTGAAATCGAGTCATAAGACAAACCATTCAAGATGTTCAATTCCTCGAGTGTTAAAAACCGTTTCCTCAGCTACGTGGGTCGGTGCATTATCGACAGTTGGCAAAACCAATTGTTCGTTTTCTAATAAATTTATGTTCATTTTTACACCAGACATATTTTGGACTTGTATTTTGATTCACCTAAAATAGGATATTTTAATTCAAATTCAGGGGAATTTAGTAAGTAACATCAATATTAAAAATATGTATTGGGAAGAAATCCAAAGTAAATGACACACTTGTGTTGTGAAACGCTTAAATAAAGTTGTTTTTATAAATTCGTCATTCTGTTAAAGAAATAAGTAGTGAACACGTGTACATTTGTAACAGTCTGCTTTTAGAGAACTCAATATCAAGACAGTTTTAAATACTAAAAATAAAATTTAGGAATAGTGGAAAGGCGACATCGCCCACTAAAGATAAATATGTATAAAGATAATAATTTATAAATATATGTTAATATTTATCACTATCACTTTCAGTGTAATAATAATAATTAATTTTAATAGAATCTAATTTGAGAGTCGTCACTTAAACTTTTTAACCGCTACGTGAGTAGAACATATGTTGAGCCATGCTTACGTATATTGCATGTTAACTAAGTCAATTAATTTTAGGATTCTGAAAATTTGAAGTAAATCCGACAAATACTTTTGGAGTTATTTGATAATTAGGAAGGGGGTTTCGTTCATTCTGGAACGTTAGTGTAAAAATAAATATTTAAAATGCGTTTTTCTAAAAACAATGCTTCTGAACTGATGACCACAATAGCTCGAAAACCCATCTAGAGATTTCAACGCAATTTGTGCAGCATTTTGAAAAAATTAAAAGCTGGTGCTGATCAAAGGATTTGTTTAATTAATATTTTTTATAAACAATTAACGCTTAGTTCTGGATAAAAGCTTCGATGAAGCTCTATATTATTTATTAACAGAAAAAACTTTTTGTGCTGATTGGTTTTAGATTAATCTCTACAGATTAGGGATGGGCACCAAAATGAACTTCGGCGAAACTAGACAACACATTTTCAAATTTCTGTCAAGTCAAGTCGAATGTTGCAATGTTGCAATACTTTAACTTTAAAATAAAACAATTTACAGGACAAAAAAACTTATTTAAAGATTTCATGTCTGTAACTCACCTCTACAGTTTTGAATTGTTTTAAAGCCATTTTTGGAATATATTGAATATACCACTTAAGGTTTTCCAAATCGAAATAATTTAAGTAGTTTTTTAAATAGAGAGTATTGTTCTGTGACTATTACAACCAGATATAATATAAACAGCGAATATTCATCCATAAGTGTAAGTATGTATAGTATGTACTTATGTACAAGTAAAATATATAAAAATTATTTTCATTTGAGTTCATTGCTTCAAAAATACATTACACATTAATAATTAATTAATTTTTTATATTTTTTAGTCCCATT